AGCTCAGCCCTGGGTGTCCAGTTAATTAAATCACACCGCAGATGTCAAAATCACCAAGGACCTTCTAATAAAACACATTTAAGCCAGTCTTAGCAAATACTCGTGAAATCAGCTTACCCGTGTAGGAGGATGGATGGATGGAGGGATGGATGGATGGATAATGGATGGATGGATGGATGGATGGATGTATGGATGGATGGATGGATGGATGGATGGATGGATGGATGGATGGATGGATGGATGGATGGATGGATGGATGATGGATGGATGATGGATGGGGGATGGATGGATGGATGGATGGATGGATGGATGGATGGATGGATAGATGGATGGATAGATGGATGGATGGATGGATGGATGGATGGATGGATGGATGGATGGATGGTGGATGGATGGATGGATGGAGGGATGGATGGATAGATGGATGGATGGATGGATGGATGGATGGATGGATGGATGGATGGATGGATGATGGATGGATGGATGATGGATGGATGAAGGATGGATGATGGATGGATGGATGGATGGATGGATGGATGGATGGATGGACGGATGGATGGATGATGGATGGATGGATGGATGGATGGATGGATGGATGGACGGATGGATGGATGATGGATGGATGGATGGATGGACGGATGGATGGATGATGGATGGATGGATGGATGGATGATGGATGGAGGGATAGATGGATGGATGGATGGATGGATGGATGGATGGATGGATGGATGGATGATGGATGGATGGAGGGATGAATAGATGGATGGATGGATGATAGATGGATGATGGATGGATGTAGAGGTCATCAGTAAGAACTCACACTTTTCCCTCAGGAAGCCTCCTCCTTCCCCCTCAGTGCCTCACACCAGTCAAAAATGGTTATTGTGCTTTAAACACACTTAAATAATAAAGACCTACTTAACAGACTGCTCAGGATGATAACAACAAAACACCACTTGCCTGTGAGTGGCTTAATTGTTTTTCTACTCATAAAAATTTACTTCTTTGGGGAACAAAGTTCTTGGACAGCCTCTCCTCACTACTTCAGTAGGAAACCTGATACTAAAATCAGCTGAGATCATCTAAGGCAATCCAACTGCTGCTGGATATGGGCCACTAGATGATTCTCTTGGCCCACTGCCCTTCTCCTGGGAAAGATAGGGAGCAGATGTTGGATCAGCACACAATAATTGAACACCTGGGAGTCTTCTTCCCTGCTTAGCAAGCTAAGGCAACATCTCACTGCGGGGCTTTTGAGGTAGGACTGCCATAAATCCTGGAAGTTTTGAGAGAACACAGATAGGATCTTGGTTTTGTTTTCTTGTGGCTTTTTTGGAGCGGGGGAAGAGGTTCTTTAAGCCTGCAGAGAGAACACAGATGTCTTTTTGTGGGAAGAACAAACATTTTGCTGTGAAGTTTTTTCTGTCCTATATCATCTGCTGCCCTCATCTTTATTGAGTGCATCCTCAGGAATTTGGCCAGTGACAGTGAGCTGGTGGTGTGGTGGACATGCAGGAGGGAAGGGATGGCTCCAAAGGACAGGCTGGAGAGGTGGGGCTGTGCAAACCTTGTGGAGGGCAACAAGGCCAAGTGCAGGGTGCTGCGCCTGGGTTGGGGCACTCCCAAGCATAAAAACAAAAGGTTGGGCAGAGAATGGATTAAAAGCAGCCCTGAGAAGACCTGAGAAGTGGTGAGAGGCTGGACAGGACCCAGAACTGAGCACTCCCAGCCCAGAAGTTCAGTCGTGCCCTGGCTGCATCGAAAGAAGAGTGGGCAGCAAGTTGAGGGAGGTGATTCTGTCCCTCCACTCTGCTCTGAAGAATTCCCACTTCAAGTGCAGGCTCCAGCTCTGGGATTGCTAACATAAGGAGGACATGGACCTGCTGGAGAGAGTCCAGAGGAGCACACAAATTTGATCAAAGGGCTGGAGCTCTGGAGCAAGGCTGGGAGAGCTGAGGGTGCTCATCTAGAGAAGAGATGGATCCAAGGAGAACTCAGAGGCCCTTCCAGGGCCTAAAGGGGCTCCAGGAGAGCTGGAGAGGGACTTTGGAAAACAACATGGAGTGTCAGGACAAAGGGAATGGCTTTAAACTGAAAGAGGATGAGGTTAGAGGGGATATTGGGAAGAAATTTTTTATGGGGATGGTGAGGCCCTGGCACAGTTTGCCCAGAGAAGCTGTGGCTACCCTGCAATCCTTGGACATGTCCAAGGTGAGGCTGGATGGGGCTTGGAGCAATCTGAGATAGTGGAAGGCGTCCCTGCCCATGGCAGGAACTGGATGATTTACAAAGTCCCTTCCAACATAAATCATTCTATTATTCTATAATTATTTTCTTTATGAGATGTGACGGGAGAAGACAGCAGACCTGCAGGAAAATCCACAAAGCAAAGCTCTGGAAGTTCTAGTTGATTCTTTAGTCTGCTCCATGGTGCTGGAACAGAACCAGAGCTGAGTGCATTCACAGCGTGTCTGTACAAGGTTTGGAGGCATCTGTGCAGCCATGGGGCTGTGGCTGTGCCAAGGCACTGCAGCAGGGCTGGCTGGGCTGCTGTGGGGCTGTGCCCCCCAGGCTGCTGCATGTGGGCTCAGAGCCACAGGGGCAGTCCAGCAACTGGCACAGGGCTTTTCATGCTGGACAGGTCATGGATTTAGTCTATTTTATGACAAAATTGCCTTTTTTTTCTCCTTTGTTTAAAGGAGATAGAGTGCGTTGGTTTTCTTAGCTTTTACAGAGATGGGGTAACTGAGAGGCATTTTTAAAACGTTTTATTTTATTATCAGTCTCGATGAATAGTGAAATGCAAGAGATGTAAAACTTAATGCTATTTTATCTGAAGCTGACTTATTTCTTGGTTACAATACCTTATAAATGTTTTTCTTCCTATTAGCTTTTGCTACACAATGCTGCTATTACTTCTAACATCAAGTACTTATATTTTTTTCTCCAAATAGTCCTGCTACAAAGCATCTTTTACAGTTCTGATTCTCTAAAATATCTGGTCTTTTTACAAAGTCATATTTTGAAACTTGCTGAAACTTATTTCTAGTTCAATCTCTCTCTCTCAAAAATGTCATCTCTATTCCATAGTCTTCTTAAGTCAACACACCTTATCTCAGTGTTTACATACAGATGTACAAGACTGTGTGAACTTTCTGTCAAGTTTTTAAAATTCTTTACAAATCCATTTCTCACAAGGGTGAAGGCAAGGAGGATTTGAGATTAATTTATGTGCCATGCACAACAGAGGATGGGAGATGCAGAAAATGAAGGGAAAGGGGTAAAAATCTGGAGAAATGGAGGCTTGGGGGAGACCTTATCACTCTCAACAATTCCCTGAAAGAAGGTTGTAGCCAGGTGGAGATTGGTCTCTTTTCCCTGGCAACAAGCCCCTGGACAGGAGGAAAAGGCCTTAGGCTGTGCCAGGGGAGGTTCAGGTTGGACATCAGAAAGAAATTCTGATTTCTGATTCAGTGAAAGGGTGGTCAAGCACTGAAGTGGGCTGCCCAGAGAAGTGGTGGACTCTCCTTCCTTGTTGGTGTCCAAGGAATGACTGGATGTGGCACTCACAGAATCACAGAATCACAGAATAACGAGGTTGGAAGAGACCTCTACGATCATCAAGTCCAACCTATGCCCTAACACCACAACTAGACTATAGCACCGAGTGCCATGTCCAGTCTTTTTTTAAACATATCCAGGGATTGTGATTCCACCACCTCCCTAGGAAGACAATTCCAGCATTTTATTATTCTTCCAGTGAAAAATTTTTCCTAATATCCAACCTAAACCTTCCCTGATGTAGCTTGAGACTGTGTCAGTGCTGCTCAGTTGACAAGGGGTGTATAGTCAGAGGTTGGCATCCATGATCTTGAGGTATTTTCCAACTTTTTCTGTGATCCTATGAAAAGATAAGCAGAGGAAAGGGCTTCCACAGCAGGAAGATCCTAGGCATACAGGTGTCGTGGAATTTCAGGGTAATTAGAAGAACCTCATTAGCAGGCAGCTGCACTTCCAGCACGTCTCACAGAACTGGGGTAAGGATGGGGGCATTCAGCACCTCAAATTCCTGACACAGATCTGGGGGGCCTGAGAGCAGCAAAATCAGCGTGGGGCCAAGTGTCTCCATGGGATGTCCTGGCAGAGGACTCCTCTGGGTCTGCTGTTGTTGCTCAGGCTCCTTTATTTAAAAAATATATATATATATAAAATCCTGGTCATTTTCCAGGTCTGGAGAGTCTCCCCTCGAGCAGGGAGCAGTGCCTGGATGCTCTTGTGCAGGGGACAGGGGCCACCCTGCTCTTCTGCAGGTACTGGACACGGAACCAGCTGGACACCTCTTCCTCTCTCTCCAGCAATCCCTGCATCTCCTCTCCAGGCATTTTCCAGCAACAGGTGCCACTCCTGCATGGCTGTTCCAGGGGTCCCATGGCTCTGTGGCACGGGACAGATGCTGCTGTTCTGTGCAGTCATGTCCCTCTCTAGGTGTGCATCTCCTGTGGGAGATGAGAGAATTCTCTCTCCGAGCTCAAAGGGCTCAGCCTGGACACAGGCCACCAGCTCATCTGCACACAACATCAGCAAAATGGTGTTTCCATCTGAAATTCCTGCTCTGCTCCCGCTCAGTTCCCCTCTCTGACAACTCCGAGCTACTTTATCGCTTCTCTTTGCAATCAACTCTGCAGGTCCGGGAGAAATTGGCTCCTTTCATCTTCCCTGGCACAGCCCCCTCTCCCTCCCAGCAGCGATGCCATCCTCCCTCCCATCGCCGATGCTGCTGACCCTGTCACGGTAATGAAACAAGAAATAAAAATTCCTGGGACAGCAGAAACGTGGCTAAGGCGATAAGGAGAAGGCAGATTTGGGGTACGTGGGAAAAAGGAAAGAGGAAAAAAGGAGAAAGGGTGCTCGATTCGGGAAATTTGATTTGAATAAATCCCTCCTCCCGCTCCTCCTCATTGGTTTCTTTTTCTCCTCCATATTAATGAGAGCAGCCAAGGAGAAGCTATTGGTTCCATATCGCTTTCCCTTTGCTCAGGCACTCGGGGGAGGAGGTGTTTGCATTTCTCCGCAGGACCAGCTCGCTTTGCAGAGCATTGTCTGGGTATGAGAATCACACACAGGCACAGGGGCAGGGGCGAGCGCACCGGAGCATCTCACCCCGGCACAGCATCTCAGCCAGCCTGAGCACCCCTCTCGTCCCGGCACCGACAGCCCCCTTAAAAAAAAAAAAAAAAAAAAGAAAACAAAAAACAGGGAAAAAAAAGTTTTAAAATATCCCGCCTCCCTTCTTGCTTTTATTTTGTTGTTATTGTTTGGGTTTTGTTTTTTTGTTTGTTAGGGGGATTTTTTTTTTTTTCTTGATTTAGCGATGGCAAATTCCTTCACGGCCAGGAGCTGGCCCATCCCCTGAGCAAAGGCAGCTTGGACATGACCGGCAGGCGAGGGAGGAGGAATTTGGATTCCCTTGGGAGGCGCCGACCCCTCCTGCGGCCGGGGGGAGCCAGCGCGGGCAGCGGGGCCGGACCGCTCCCCGCGGCCACTGTCCCCCCGCGGGGATGCGGCATCGCCAGCGCCGGGACGGAGCCCTGCTGCAATGGTGAGTCCTTCCCCGGCCTCCCCAGCTCCTCCCGGGCCAGCCCCATCCCCCGAGCCCGGGGATGCCGCAGCCGGCTTGTCTGCGAGTGACATTGATCCTTGATTCAGCGGCTCGTCCCTCCTCCTCCTCCCCACGTCCTGCGAGCGCTTCTTCAGGGGGGAATTGCATGCGGGCTTCTGGAGGATGAGTCCTCCAGATAGATTTGGTTCTCTGCGAACAAATCAATCCGGCTTTGCTGGCGGTGACAGGTCGAGGCGCTCGGTATGGGAATCACGTCTGGTTTTAACACAATATGGCTGGTAAATAAAACCTGATTGCTAACAGCCCCGCCACTGCTGTCGGCGTTTCCCGATGCAGCTCCGCATCCTCACCTGCCGCAGAAACTCGGATTCACCCTCCGAGCAGTGCAGCAGGACTGGCTTGTTTTTACTGTGGGGTTCTAGGGAGAAACTGCGGTTCGTGTGCCTTTGACCTCTGCTGGGCACTCCTCCTTATCAGTGTTCGAACAGCTGGCTCTGATAAAACCATCTTCATGCCGAGCACATCTCCAGTCAGGGGCACGGCACGCAGGACAGGCTCTTTCCCGCTGTGCTCTGAATTTAGGATGCGAAGCGTTCAGGTATGTGTTGGAATCTGAGGAGTTTACAGCCGGGGAGAGAACGAGAATGTGATAATGCAGCTTGCCGTGCAGAAATGGAAAATGCATAGAAAAAAAAAAAAAAAAAAGGGAAATTTGATTAGTGACACACTGGTGTTTATGGTTGCATGATCATCCCACTTACACAGCAGCAGATCTGGAAGAACTCCCTGGAAGTCAGTGGATTTCTTCTGCATCTTATCTGCAGGTAAACAGAATCTGGCCTTTAGCTTGATGGATGTATTGGAGTAGCACTGGAGGTAGCTATAATAAGGAGAAATTCTTAACTAAAGTGAATAAGGCAGCAAAGTGATGTGATTCTTTCTCAGGGAATTATCAATTACCATCTGCCTGCTGCATGTTAATTACAGTGCAAGTGGTGGACTGGTACAGCAATATGTAACTGAAGCAGCTTGTTGGATTTTTTAATTTCATCTGTTGGAGTGAAAAAAAAAAAAAAAACAACAAATGGATTTGCACTTGCTGTTATTTGGGTACACAACCCCCTCACTCCTCTGCCCAGCCTATGCAACACTGGTCAGGTACAGCAGGGAAATGCTTCCGTGGCTAATCCTCGGGAATGTTTGATTACTGGAGGTTAATGCTAGCACGGAGGCAAACTCCTGAAAGTGCTCCTGGTGTAGCTGCAGAGAAAGAACGTGTTATACAAGCATCTCCTTTTGGCTAATGCCTAAGAGCCTGGAGCTGGCTTGGAAGAAGTTGTCCTGTAGGATGGGTAAGGCAGCGCTGGAATTTGGTAAATAATTAAGGAATGCCGGTCAGGGCAATAAGGGGAGTTGGATTAGAGTTGATGTATCTGTTTGTGTGTGCGTTGTGGTCTTCCACTTTCATTCCCACCTGTTTCCATGTGCTGTGGGCCAGGGTTGCTGCTTTGCTGTCATTCAGGACAGCTCCAATTGATCTTATTTTGTCCCGGGCATTTATCTCAGGATTTCCGCTGTTTTGTTCTCTCCAACCAAAGACGTGTGAATGGCTGGGAGGATGACCACAGCCTTCAAGGTCACGAGGAGGGGGCTTTTTGTGGGATAAATACACTTATTTCTCTTTATATAGGCTTTGTGCTCGCTCCTCGGCTTTAGCTTTCAGTCATCCATGGGGGTCCCTGCAGGAGACTGGAGGGCTCCTTCCTTGCTGTGGGTTTGGGAATTCTGCTGCTGGCACGGTGGTGCCACAGCCCCACGGAGCTGCCCAGACCTGCTGCTGCTGGTTGTGAGGCTCACAAACACGCAGGCAGGAGCTCTGTGGTGGGATGCTACCAGGGAGAGAAAAACTGAGATTTCTGAGCTTGTGGGCTGCGCTGCTGAGCACATTCAGACCTTTGTTCATCACATCTCTCCTCGTTTGGCTGACTGAGACAGCATCCTGGAGATATTTTTTTCCTGGGGTTGAGTTCCATATGTGCCTGTGCCTTTGCTAAGTTGAGCCCCGTGTCCCTGAGCTGATTCATTCCAATGTAGCAGATTCTGTTTGCCTTTCCTTCCTTCTGAGCACACTTAGTACAAACAGTCTAATTCCTAAATTAGCTCAGATTATCTTTTAATGAAACCAGAGTATCTGAGTTAAGAAGCGCTGAGAAAAAGTGAACTCAGGGCATGATCATGCTGCAACTCATGCCTGGTGGAGAAACCTGCAGAAATATCAGGTCCTGCAGTTAGTCGTGATTTAACAGAGAAATTCTTTGTTTGCCACTGTTCCCAGGAGAGGAAAACTGATCTGAGGATGTGGAAGTCAGTGGAGATGCTCAATTTTATTTCACCCCTTTCCTTGGCCCAGAGAGTGCAGCCACAATCTCTAAGTCAAGGAGGGGAATTTTTTTGTTGGCTTGTGTTTCCTCGTTTCCATTTCCTCTGCTCCTGTCACGTCCAGCCAATCCCATACCATCTGTGCTTCAGCACACACTGCAGTCAACAGGATTTTGGAGTGAATTTTCCACATCAGGACAGAAGTGGAACAGCTCTGCTGAAGGGGATGTGAATGCAGCAGTGAGGAACTCTCTCTTCTTTTTGTTATCCACAACTTGAAAGTCATCTTTGCTCACAGTGGCTGGTCAGGGTGAGCTGTGGCACCACTGAAAGAGGCTGTTCAGAGTATCCCTGAGGAGACTTTCCCAGTTCCCTTGGTGCTGAACTTGTTCTGTTCTTAGGGAATGCTTTGCATACAGAAAGGTGTTTGGTAGTTTTCCACAGCATTAACAAGTTCTAGAATTCCTGTGTGTGCCGTGGCTGCTGAAACGCTGTTTGGATTGTAATTGAGTGGGCACAAATATCTGGGGAAAAAAGGCAGATTTTTTTTTTTTTTTTTTTTTTTTCTCAGAAGCTTTGTGGCAGAATGTCCACCCCTCACCCCATTGCTTTGCTGGTGTTTTATCGTCTGGCCACCTTTTGCTCTCTCCATTTATTATCTGTCTCCTTAGAGATTTTGCACTTTTATCTGCACAAGGCAAACTAGGAATGAGTATAAAACTCGCTGGGTCGTTCAAGCCTTGTTTATGTAACTCACTGCAGCTCAGTGATTGTGTCCCCCTGCAAGCTCATCTCCAGAGTTGATTAATAATTTCAGGGCTGAACTTCTTAGGACAAGCTAAGCTATTCCATCTCCTAAAGAAAAGGTGGAAGCATCGCCACACAGAGGATTTAAAGCCAGAGTGGCTGTTGTACTGAGGAATATTTCCTCAGAAGGGGTCCTACAGAAATATGCAGCTGCAGGGACTCGTTTGCTGCTCTATTAAATGTAAATACTTCAATTTCTCTGCCCTGGAGACACCCTGACAATCTCATCCCTGCTCATTCAGGTGTCATATCTTACTCCTTGATAGAGAGCTACCATCTGGAACTACTTTGATCTGTTTGACCGCCATGGTTTTCTCAAAAAAAAAAAAAAAAAGTTTTTGAAGGTGGAAAAACCTCTGCTTAATGCCATTGTTAAAAAAGCCCAAACCAAAACAAGCACCAAAATATTCAACAAATAACTCAATAATTCTAGTTTTTGTTAATGTAATTCATAATTCACTCTAAAACTGAGAGAAAAGGGGATGAATATGTATAGATTCAAATTCTTTTTAATAATAATTATGGCAATAGCAATAATAATAATTTATTTTGTAACACATTGGGAGTATTGATGCCTAAGTGCTCCTTACTGAACATATATTAAACATCTGCCAGGTCTGTTTTCAGGTTTGTCCATCCAGTTTGAGGCACTTCACAAGAAATATGCCTCAGTCACAGCGGCTTTTGCACCCCATTAGAGATACTGGGGTCACGATTGCTTGAGAGCTGCAGATGGAAAGATAATTATGGTCTGTTATCTATGATTTGTTGGTTTGCTAAATGGAGCTGAGGGTTAGGGCAGGAAGAAATGTTTTAATCTGTGTGGTGGGTTAATAGCCTGGATTTTTTATTTTTATTCATTTGTTGCTCAGAATCAGTCAAATTTTGCTACTTTCTTTCCCTGCAAGGGACAGTGCATTGTCCAGTCTGATTCTGTGAGGATTCTTAAGGTAAAAAAAAAATGTGTTGAAGGGAAATGTGACTGAATTAAGCTCTTGATTTCTGGGGAGCAGATTCATCGTTAGGTCCATCTCTGAGGTAAATCTCTGAGGGCTGGAGGATGTATAAATTCACTCATTCTCAAGAGGAAACTTCTCCCCAAAGGATCCCCTGGCAAAATTATTGCCCATTTCATGTGGAGGGAAGGCTTTCTCACTCGGGAGCATTTGGCTGCTTGGAGGATGCTCATCTACTCTCTGAAAGCATCTGAAGAAATTCTCACATCCAAGCCAATCACCCTAATTCACTGTGTTAGGAATGAGCAGAGTGGTTCACCCCATGCTGGAGCGGGTCAGACGAACCACCCCGTGGAGGTTCTGGCAGCAGCTGACCCAGACACACATCCACCATCAGCCAGAATGAGCCTTCCATGGTGTCTCAGAGGCATCCCCAGGAGTTAAATGTCTTTTTTCCCATCTTTCTTTGGGGGAGAAGGCTGGTGGTGTTGTGCAAGCTCACAAATTTTGATAGCTCGCAAGTTTTATGCAAATCTGAAGTTCAATGGGAAGCCCAAGACTGCTGTAGTGGACCTCACATCTTCCTCACCCTCATTTTCCCTTCAATCCATGAAAGGCAGATGCAGCTGCTGGAGAGTTCATGCCACATGTCCCAGAAAATATCCTATCTAGTTTGATTTTTTTTAATTATTCATTGATTTTTCAGCTCTGATAGACTTCTTTCGTGTATCAACACTTTCAATAACCTTTGTCCAGTTACTCAGAGGGATTTTCCAGCTGAAGCTGGGATGTGATTTTGTGGATGCACAGCACAGGGACACATCTAGGACAGTGACA